CTCTTAAGTCATGCAGATCCTGCTGAGCTCAGAAAACAAGAGTAGCTTGGAGCCAGGCACCAGAAGACCTTGCCAGTCATCAAGAGCAGGCTGTGGTATGAGCTCCTCCTCTCTCAATGGGAACACGCTCTTGCACTTGTGTGAGTCAGGAGGTCACAGCCCTTGCTGCGTTTTCAGTGGGATCCACTGCTGTGAACACCCTCATGACCTTGCTTCTTTAAGGGGAAGCTGCACTTGGCTCTCTGCTTCTGCTTGTCTCTTGAGTAGCCTAGCTTTTGAATCTGGTTTAGGTCAGGACCATCACTACCCTTTCCCCTTTGTCCTCTGCTTTTGACTATTACATGAAACTATAAAAGGTTCAGTCCTCATCTGTAAATCCTGAATGCAATTTCATAAAGGAAAAAAATACATTCCCTTGTGCTATTTCCCCACAAAATAAGCAAAACATTGCCTGTCCTTTGGTTTTGTGTGCATGAGTAGGGGAGAAGGAAGAGGAAGAAACCTTTCTTTCCTCATTCTTGTATTGCATGCTTAATTACAAACTAAGTGGCAATCCTACACTTCAGGGATCACATGAAGTTACTCTCTTCTTTCTCCCCAATAATATAGGACATTCAAGTGGTATTAGAAAGAATATGTGATAGCCTTCCTTTCCATTCCCCACTAATGACATATTGACTAATAAAACTGCTTGACTTACTTGATGTATAAGTCATCCAGAAAGAAGACAAAACCACTGAAAGACAAGGGAAGGGAGGAGGGGGCAGGGGACAGTGTCTGTGTTTGATTACACAGAGCTGCAGTTTCCATATCCATTTATTTGTTTGTTGTACAATGGTAACATCTGAGGAGAACAAGATTGGTAGCAAATGGTTATGACATTCTATAAAAGAATTTTCTACATTGCTAAAATAAGAATAATGTATTTTTAAATATTTTTGGACTTTCATAACCTATTTCAATACCTGCTCATCCATCCTCCCTCTGACGTACACCTAATCCAATAGCGGTAACTCAAATTAAAAGAAAAGCCAAAAGACCAATTATGACTGGAGGGTAGACACAGAGATCATAATCACTGTGAGATCGTGGAAAGTTTTTAGTATCTTTTGGGAAAGTTAAGCAGAGATTTTGTGAGATACAAGTAGCGAATCTGTGGTAATGTGAGATCTGAGCTGAGCTCTAAGAGCACAGTTCCCATTCAGCACTCAGAGTCTAAGCTGCCAGGGAGTGAAATTCTCTGGGTTCATGATCTCGCTGGTAGAGTGCACTGAACACCCACTGTGCCACTGGGCCAGCTCTCCAGATTACGTTTTCAAAAGGAGCTTTTAGTGTAGCAGACATCTGCTGTAGCTTTGGGAACTTATGTTTTCTAATAGTCAAAGAATAAAGAATTGTCTGTTCAAAGATAATATTGAGTGGCTTATATAATAAAGCGCAGCTGCTTGTTTCCTGATATATAAGCTAAATAAAAGCTCACATCTGTTTGTGTTATACGAAGCCTGCAAAAATAGCAGATGTTTACCAGTAGAATTGTCTAGAAATGGCAACAAATAGAAAAACAGGTCAGAAAAGGGGAATGAATCTCATTTAAATCTTCAGTGAAACTGTTGCTTCTGCAGTGGAGGTACGATGTTAGAAATGGGGTGTTATTCGATTTACTGCTTTAAATTAAATAAAGCAGAGAAAATGAAGCAATTTGTGTTCATCATTACATAGTTAAAAAGTAAAACTCACCAACATTCAGTTACTTAAAAAAATAAATACCCTAGATTAGAAAGTCAATTTAGATTTATATTTCTGGTTGTTAAGTCTGCATGGTTTTTGAGAATTTTTTAATTT